CTCACGGCCACCCCAGCGTCGACCTGCTGGGCTCTGGCGATCCTTCTGCCTCAGCCTTCCAAGGAGCTGGAACTACAGGCGCATGCGACCATGCTGGGCTAATTTTTGAGTTATTGTACAAATGAGGTCTCACCAAGTTGCCTGAACTAGTCTTGAACCCCCCAGCTTAGGCAATCCTCTTGCCTTGGCCTCCCAAAGTGCTAGGATTACAGGCTGAACCACCACACTCAGTCTCTTTTCTTTCTTTCTTTCTTTTTTTTTTTTTTTTTTTGCATCCTGTGTTTAAGAAATCTTTACTTAGTTGGGCTATTTTTTCCTTTTTTTTTCAAAGCATTATTATGGCAATGACTAATACATTAGATACTGCCAATTCATTCCCCAAAATGGTTGTTCTAACTTATACTCAAATCAGTGTATTTTAACATTCACTTCTTCACATGCTCCCCTTGTTAAATTTCTGACAGACTGATATATATAAGGTACATCCTTAGTGTGGTTTGGATGTACATTTTCCTAATTTTTTCTTTTTGAATTGGAGTCTCACTCTGTTGCCCAGGCGGGAGTGCAGTGGCACACTCACGGCCACCCCAGCGTTGACCTGCTGGGCTCGGGTAATCCTTCCGCCTCAGCCTTCCAAGGAGCTGGAACTACAGGTGCGTGCTACCTACCATGCCCGGCTAATGTGTGTGCTCTTATGTATCCAATATACATATATCAATATATATATATATATATATATATATATATATATATATATATATATATGCATAGTCTATTTTTGAAAAACAATTGCACAGTGAAGTTGGTAGAGTTATTTAAAAGACACTTATAGTGGAATGTAAAGGCAAAATGACAAAACATTATAATATGTCAGACTTATGAGGCAAGATTTTTTTAACAGTGAATAAAGCCTCTGATGTGGGTGCTGAGGAGAGATTTAAGACTGCTAGAATTTTGGTGGAAATGAGGAGAACTCAGAGAGTTCACCAGATAGCCAGGCAAGACTGATCTCAAGTGAATTTCTGTGAAGTCTTTGATCTCCCTGTGGTGAAGGATTTCAAAGGAAATGCCCTTGGAGCATATGTCAGTGGACTAGATCAGTAAATCCACAACCCTAGCTGCATGCTAACATCACCTGAGGAACTTTGAAAATAAGGATCTAGGCTCTACCTCAAACCAATCTGGCCAGAGTCTCAGTTAGATTTTGAAGAAATGGCTCTGGGAACTGTATTTAAAAAAAAATTCTCCAAGTGATTCCCATGGGCAGAGAAGGCTAAAACCCCACAAAGTAGATGCCAATATGTAAAACCTCAAATAACACTGTTTAGGAAAAAATAAGATTTTATTTGGCATGCAGTTATTCTTACCAGTTTGTTTTTTTTTTAATGTAGGTATGGGCTGGGTGCAGTGGCTCATGCCTGTAATCCCCGCGCTCTGGGAGTTGGAGGCAAGAGGATTGTCTGAGCCCAGGCGTTCCAGACCAGGCTGGGCAACATGACGAGAACTCATCTCTACAGTCAATCAAAAAATTAGCTGGGCGAGGTGGCGCATGCCTGTAGTTCTAGCTACCTGAAAGACTGAGGTGGAAAAAAATCTCCTGAACCCAGCAGGTGGAGGCTGCAGTTGCCATGATTGTGCCATAGTACTCCAGTCTGGGCGACAGAGTGAGACTCCCCCTAAACAAAATAAAGAAATAAAAGTTTTTATATATGTGTGTCTGTATGACGAAGTTAGGAAAAAATTGCAGATCTGTGTTAGGTGATATCAACAGAGTGTAAAAGGAAATTTTAGCTTTAAAAAAGGTTTCTATCTCACAATAAGGTTCTTTTGAATGATTTTTATTCAATGATCATTTATTGGGACTCTATGACATAAAAGTCTGTTATGTTTTCCTTTTTTTTTAATGGCTAGGAAATGGCTTTTACCTTCAAAGTGTGACAGTCTGGTTAAGAGATATAAATAAATAGAGATAGGACAGGAAAAAGAAATACCACACTGGAAAAAAACAAAATGTGAGGGAAACATGAAGAAACAACACCAGCAAGGAGATTGGAAAGGAGGCTTTCTGGAGAAACCAGGATTTGAACTCAGGCTTTGAAGGATGGGCAGTATTTCGGCAGGCGGAGAACTTGGCATAGGACAGATTCCAGCTGGGGAACAGTAGGAGCAAAGCCTCAGCCTAAAAGAGGGCGTGCAGCTCACACCTCATTTTCTCCTGGACCTACGGCAGCGACCTGCAGGCTGGTCTCCCACCTGTGCCCACCTCGGCCTTCCCACTCCTGCTGCCGCCACAGCTCCTGTATTTCCAGAGAATGCTGGACACTGCAGTAAGGTTGCAAACTGTGTCTGCCCAGTTGACATAGTCTCTGAAGGTTTATGCTTTTGAGATTTTTTTGGTTACTAAATGAATGTATGCTCTTGTATCAAATCCAAATAATACCGAAGGGTATAAAACAGGAAGTGAAAGTCATTCCTCCAATCCAGCCCTGAGATAATCACTGTTGATAGTTTGGGGAGGTGTCCATCCAGTTTCTCCGTTACTCTCTGTCTCTGTCTGTTTTCTCTAAGTATAATATACACGTAATTTATATGCATACATATGTAATACACATATACGTATGTTACTTTTATATATGTGTGTATATATAGATACAGCAGCCTGTATATACATGTATGATATACACATCATATGTGTGTATATGGATGCTCAGTTCAAAGAAGAAAACTAAGCAACTGTTGCATATATATTTACATATGTACTTGACATGTCTTTAGAAAATCTATCTAATGTCTCTAAATATACTATTGTAGAACCCCAAAAGTTAGGCTTGAGTACAGAGATATGCAGAGCCAAACACTGACACATCAGCACTTAGGAGCAGAGAAAAGTCTATTTGGCCAAAGCATGAGGGTGGGAGAGGCAGACTCAAATCCAACCCGCCTTTAAATATAACTGGGATTTTTTTAATGAGTGAGGCTGATAATTAAGTTTGCAAACCTGCCACCATGCGTTTACATTGACAGCATTGTACAAACAGCTCGGGAAGGTTTCATAACCTTGGTATATCAGTGTCTCACAGCTGTGTTCATGTCGATGTGTGGTAGTGTCTTGCTGAGCGGCGTTCGTTATTGTTGTTGCATGTTTTTGTGTGCCATTGCTAGAATGTCAGAGCTTGAATTAGAGCAAATAACAAACATTAAATTTCTTATTAAACTTGGCAAGAGTGGAAGTGAAACTGGGGACACATTAGTTCAAGTTTATGTAGATTATGCCATGAAAAAAACGGCAGTGTACAAATGGATTAAATGATTTTCTGAAAGGAGAGAAAATATCACTGATGAAGAGAGGTTCGGATGGCCAGTAACAAGCAGAACTGATGAAAACTGCAAAAATTCATCGAATTGTGCATCAAACTCGTTGGCTGACTGTGAGAAGCTTAGCAGACTAAATAGACATCAATAGAGAAACAGGAAAATCTTAACTGAAAATCTTGGCGTGAGAAAGTTCTGTGCGAAAGTGGCCTCAAAGGACAATGTACCAGCTCACACAGCACCTTCTGTGAAGGAGTTTTTAGTCAGTAAACAAATAACTGTATTGGAACACCCTCCTACTCACCTGATCTGGCCCCCAATGACTTTTTTCTTTATCTGAAGATAAAGGAAGTGCTGAAAGAAAGACATTTTTATGACGTTCAGGACATCAAGGGTAATATGACCACAGCTCTGCTGGCCATTCCAGAGAAAGAGTTCCAAAATTGCTTTGACGGGTGAACTAGATGCTGGTGTCAGTGCGTAGCTTTCCAAGGGGAGTATTTCAAAGGTGACTGTAGTGATATTCAGCAATAAGGTATGCAGCACTTTTTCTAGGATGAGTTCACAAACTTAATTGTCAGAACTTGTACACAGGAGGTAAGATCCCAACGATCAAAGTTTCTTGTGTCTTTCAGTCAATCAAACTTCTGGGTGCTGTCTAAGAGGTCTCCATGACCTAAGGATCATTGCTCTTTAACAGAAAAACAAGTTCATTAGTCTTGCGGGTGGTCCCTGGGGGTTAGGATATGAATCCAATCAATTATTAGTGTGAACCCTCTAAATGAGATGACTTTGTGCAAGCAATCACGCATGGAGGAAGAACAGGACAAAAAGATAAGGAAATAAGTAAAACAAACATCTTGTGATTTTTATAATATAGGCTCAGCTACACTGTGTCTATTTATCTATATGTGCACCTATATGTTTATATGCCTGTTGCGGGACACGGAGGTGTACTCTCTGATGTGTTGTTTTTCCTCTAAAATGGAAATGCTCCCTTGCCTGAAACCTTGTGCCAACTCCACATCACATACCAGGTTAAACGCCTGCTCTTAGTACGTTGCTGCAAGCTGTGTGGACAGGGCTCTGCCTGCTTTCATCTCCAGCCTCCTATTCAGCTACTCTGGCCACTTTCCAGAGGGGTCTGCAGTGGGGGAAGCAAAAGGAAGAGTCCTCCTCCTTGGCACTTTCTTCCAAACGGTTGTCCTTTCCGAAGTGGTTTTCAAGAGGAATACCCCCGCGGCTGTTGCTGTAGGGGTAATGAAAAGACCTCAGGGGCAGCAGCGTGAAAGCAAAACTGTGAACACGCAGAGTAGGAGTCAAGGGCAACACTTGTTTGATGGGTTCCCTCCTCCGCTGTCCAGAGACAGAGCTCACACCCTCTGACTGAACCCCGATGCTAGGACATGGCCTTGACACTGCTGCAGTCACACTGGGAGCTTCGTAAACTCCTCCTAGGTCCTTGAATCAGCCCAGCTGTTTCACATTTCTGTGCTTTTACATATTTTCATTCCTTCAGCTTAAATGCCACTACCCACCATGGTCTGCTAGGCAAACGCTAAACATCTTTTGAAACGCAGCTCACACAAGGTTGTTTCTTTCCTCGTAGAGACCACCGCGAGATGTTCCCCACCCAATGATTTAGAAACAAGCTTGCTGTAAGATCAAGCAAGGAAACCAGGTACACCATGAAGGTGATAAGCTCTCTGGAGGAGAAAACCAAGCCATTGTGTACAAATATGTAACTGAAGAACTTAGAAACTTTCCAATTGCAAAACGAAGGGAAAGGACAAGAAGGTCGAGGAGGAAGAGGAGGAGGAAAGTGGTGTGGGTTAACCTTGAGGGCAGAATATGGAACAAACTGCAATTCAATAAACAGAAGCACAATTAATTGTATTGACCGTGTTTACAGTAAGACTGTGTGAAGAGGAAGGTCTGGTAAACCCAGGAGGCAATGGTGGTGGCATGGAGGTTGGGAGTCAAGGAAGTGGGGGTAGACAGGTGCACATCATCCATTTTCACGGCTACACATTCACCTAGCAAGTGACAAAATCACAGTTTATCTCCTCTTGGTAGAAATGATGGTGGTTTTCAATAGTCATCCATTACAAACAATGCTCAGTGGGTATTCTCATCTTGTGTCTCCTTATGCTCATGGGTTCGTATTTTCTAGGGTATAGGTTTAGGAATGGAACTACTGAATCACAAAGTGTGAGCCTGTTCAGCTTTACTAGGTAAGCTCAAATTATTCTTCAAAGGAGTTATGCCCGTAATGTTCCAGTCGTTCTGTGTTCTTACAGACACTTGGTATTGTCAGACTTAAATGTCTGACAATTGTATGTAATGAAAAGACTATCTCATAATTGTTCTACTTTGCATTTTTCTGGTTAGTACTAATATTTCATGTCTTTTTATATGGTTATTGGTCAATTGAACTTCTTTTCATATCTTTGCCCATTTTTCTATTGAGGTATTTTTATTATATTTACTGCTTTACAGGAATTCCATACTTCTCTGTGTGTATCATGCATGTGTGTACATGTGAGTGTGTTTTGGATATATTCTCCTAGTCCATAGCTTACTTTTTCATTAAATACAAAAACAAAAAACTTTTCTGCCGGGCATGGTGACTCAAGCCTGTAATCCCAGCAGTTTGGGAGACCCAGGTGAGTGGATTGCCTGAGCCTGTGGGTTTGAGACCCACCCAGGCAACTTGACAAGAGCTCGTCTCTACAGTAAACAAAAAAAATTAGCCAGACGTGGTAGCAGGTGCCTGTGGTTCCAGCTATTTGGAAGGCTGAGGTGGAAGGATCACAAGAGCCCAGCAGGTGGAGGCTGCGGTGGCCATGATCCAGCCTGAGCGACAGAGTGAGACTCCAACTCAAACAACAACAACAAAACTCTGTCCCTCAATTTCTTCATCCATAAAATGAAGATAATATTATTAAACATATGTGTAACATCTTAGAACAGTGCCTAGCATATAGAAAGCACAATATAAATATTTATTATCATTATCAGTGTCTTCCTTTTTTTTTAAGTTGGAGTCTCACTCCTTCACCCAGCTGGATGGCCACTCCAGCATCGACCTGCTGGGCTCCGGCCATCCTTCCTCCTCAGCCTTCTGAGTAGCCAGAACTATGTGGGGAGCCGGCCACGGAGGCCCACCTGAACGTTAGGGATCAAGGTGGGCTGTGGACCCTGAGACCGCTAGGATGTGTTCAGGAGCTGATGGCCCATTCCCTTTTCCCTTTTTCGCTGTTTGGCACGTCTCAGTAGCAGGGACTTTGATGATCTAAGCTTGAAACTTTGAGAGTACGACAGGCATGGCTAACTCTAGGGATCCATTGTTCTCGTTTCTCACAGACTGTGGTTTTGGCCTTTCAATCAATTACGGTTCAAACTCGGGTCACATTTGGGAGCCTTATATATGATACAAGCTTCTTTATAAGATTTAAAAGTATATTTGTAGAATTAGTATATACATATGGAGAGTTGTCTTCAGCTTTAGATGGTATAGATGATTATCTAGAGTTACCAGAAATGACCCAGCATGAACTTTGAACTGGGCCACATTCCTAAGGGCCCAGCGTGTAACTTGGACTGGGTTACATTCTTTTAAACCGGTTTTTAGCTACAATTAGTGTAGGTTTTTTCTACTTATTATAGAAATTGAATTTATTTCATTCATAGAAAATATCGTAGAATAGGTTATGCTACATCAGTGAATTATGTTAGTTCAAGCATGATCAAACATGATATTTTGAGGTTTAATAGGAATACAGCTAACTTTAGAAATTTCATTGTTCCCATTTTCTATTAATTGCGGTTTTGGCTTTAGTACAATTTACAGTTTGTATTTGGGTTTTATTTTTAGAAGCTTTATTGCTGATGATCAGCTTTATATATTAGGATTAGGAATTAGAAACTTTTATAGAAGTTAAAATAGATATATAGGATTTTAGAACAGCCATTTTGTTAAGAGATTGTAATCAATTGTTCCTAGAAATGGCCCAGTGTGATCTTTTAACTGGGTCACATTCTTTAGGAACTGGTTTGGGCTATAATTAAGAGTTTCTGTAGTGTAGGTAGAATTAGCGTAAAATAGAAAGGAATTAGAATTTAACTTAGTCATTAGGTGTTGTGTATGCATAAGTTTTAAAAGTTATTGATTATTAGAATATTATGATGTTAGAATTGCAGTATTGCTTTTGAGGAATATTAACCAAACATGAGGAACAGTGAGATAATTTTGGGATTGTCTTTCCTCATGCTTGAGGAAACACCTGGTGGGTGGGGGACACCCCTCAACCACCTGGCTTTGTGTTCACGTGAAAGTCTTGTGATTTAACCTGTGAAAATTTGGTATAAAAGGATTACAGTTTGTCCCATTAAACAGCTTCTGCACTAGACAGAGTTCAGTCTCTTTCTTTCTCCCCCAGTCTCTTTCTTTCTCTATTTCTCCAGAATAATCGCCGACGCCGCCACACCTCCCAAGGGACCCCCTAAATCTCTCTGCAGGGGCTGGCCCCCCGCAGAACTATAGACATGTGCTACCACACCCGGCTATTTATTTTATTGTGGAGACGAGGTCTCGCCAAGTTGCCCGGGTTGGTCTCAAACCTGCGGGCTCAGGCAATCCACTCGCCTCGGCCTTCCAAAGTGCAGGGATTACAGGCTGAGCCACCGAGCCCGGCCATCAGTGTCTTTTGATGAAAAATTCTAGCTATTTTTACCGCATCTTTTATATAAAGAGAAATTTAAAAAAATTTTTTTTGAGCTGGAGTCTCACTCTGTTGCCTAGGCTGGAGTGCAGGGGCACACTCATGGCCACCGCAGCCTTGACCTGCTGGGCTCAGGTGATCCTTCTGCCTTAGTTTTCCAAGCAGCTGGAACTACAAGCGTGCGCTACAATGCCCAGTTAATTTTTTAAATTTATTGTAGAGACAAGGTCTTGTCAAGTTGTCCGGGCTGGTCTCAAACCCATGGGCTCAGGCAATCCACTAGCCTCTGCCTCCCAAAGTGCTGGGATTACAGGCTGAGCCACGGAGTCCGGCCGAAATAAAAAATTTAGATATCTAAATTTATAAATATTTTCCTCTATAATTTAGGCTTTTTTGCATCTAAGATTGGCTTTTATCCTTACTCTATGTGTTGCCCATTCTGTAAGTGTCTTTACTAGATGAAAAGTTTTCCATCAAGCACTCTACACCTAATATAATTGGGAGAATTCCTAAATTATTGCCTCTGTGTTTAAAGGATGATGATTGCTTTTCTAGATATTATCATGAATACCACAAATATTGTTTAGTTCACTTAACTTAATTAACTCCATAAAACAAAGTTTTTAGAGCAGACATTGTCTTTTTTTCAGGACTCCTGCTGCAGTCCCCAGAGCTTTCACCCTTCTGTGCACACTGGCAACTCTTGGGGAAAAACTCCTCACACCACTGGCTGAGGAAGACGCAACGGTCCCAAACATTAAGTAAGATCATTGTAGTGGGTGTTGGGCAAATTTGTATGGCATGTGCTATAAGCATTCTGGGAAAGTCTCTGACAGATGAACTTGCTCTTGTGGATGTTTTGGAAGATAAGCTTGAAGGAGAAATGTTGGATCTGCAGCATGGGCGCTTATTTCTTCAGACACTTAAGATTGTGACAGATAAAGATTACTCGGGACCGCCAGTTCTAAGATTGTGGTGGTAACTGCAGGAGTCCGTCAGCAAGAGGGGGAGAGCCGTTTCAATCTGGTACAGAGAAATGTTAATGTCTCCAAATTCATTATTCCTCAGATTGTCAAGTGCAGTCCTGATGGCCTCATAATTGTGGTTTCCAACCCAGTGGACATTCTTACATATGTTACCTGGAAACTAAGTGGATTACCCAAGCATCGTGTGATTAGAAGTGGGGGTACTCTGGATTCTGCTAGATTTTGCTACCTTTTGGCTGAAAAACTTGGCATTCATTCCAGCTGCTGCCGTGGACGGACTTTGGGAGAACCTGGCGACTCAAGTGTGGCTGTGTGAAGTGGAGTGAATGTAGCAGGTGTTTCTCTCCAGAAACTGAACCCAGAAATGGGAACAGACAATGACAGTGAAAATTGGAAGGAAGTGCCTAAGAGGGTGGTTGAAAGTGCCTGTGCAGCCATCAAACTAAAGGGACAGACCAACTGGGCTATTGGATTAAGTGTAGCCATCTTATTGAATCTATGTTGTGTAATCTATCCAGGATTCATCTAGTCTCAACAATGATGAAGGGTATGTGTGGCATCGAGAATGAAGTCTTCCTGAGCCTCCCCGGTATTCTCAATGCTTGGGGATTAACCAGTGTTATTAACCAGAAGCTAAAGGACGATGAGGTTGCTCAACTCAAAAAAAGTGCACACACCCTGTGGAACATCCAGAAGGACCTAAAAGACCTGTGACGACTTAGCTCGAAGCTGTCGAAATTTAAAATTTACAATATGATTAACCCTAAGCCTTCAGTTTTCAGCCATGTACATGGATCACAGTTGCTTTTCTCTTCCTTAATATGTGAATGTGGGTTTACAGAATCAAAGCTCATGCTTGGGTTTAATGCTGACAATATGAGCCCCCGAGCAAATAAAATTAACTTTAGTAGTGTGAAAAAAAAGTCTCAAAAAATTTATCATGTCTTGTTGAGCATATAGTGATGGTTTTTCTATGGCATTTTCATTTTTTATTATTTTTATTGTTTTGTGATTTTCTCTTATGGTTTCTCTTCAAATGTCGATATTTTGCATATATACCAGAAGTATTCTTCTTTCACTCTGCAAAGCTTACTAGACCCCAACAGATACATACATGTTTTACCCACGACAAGGTCTATTCAGTGAGCTGAGTTTATGTGCTGTTCCGTGAAATAAAACCTCACGATATCACATTAACCAAGAATTGTATCATCTTGCAATGTCACTCTTAGTGATGAAAATCACTTCCAGGCCCCTCTCTGGTGGATTATTCCCTTCTGCTCTATGGAAGGCATTATAGTACTTGTTGGGAAAGTTTCATGCCTGGAAAAGCAGTAGCGGTCACTATTCAGTAGAAGTGCTGGCAAACACAGAGGAACCCTGTCCAAACATCGAGAGATCAAGATGGGCTTTGAGCCACAGACCTTCACAGGACAATTTAGACAGCTAAAATAAAAGCTGAGGAGGTGCCAAAGCTCCTTCCTAAAGGAAAGTTCCGCTTTGCCTGGATACCCCTGGGATTCCTCTCTATGTGGAGCTCCAGGGGTCTCTACTCAAGCCAAAGTGCTGATTATATATTTCAGTTTTCATGATTAGTTGTCTCCTTGGGGCTTACAAAAAAAGAATGCCTGTACTCTCAACTCTCTTCAGAGAATATAGATTGACTTCTCTGCCATTCATTTTATATCAGAAATTTAGCCCAAAGAAGTGATCACTCAGGGTAGGTCACCTATAGGTTTTCAAAATTTTTTTGGTCGTGAAATCCTTAATCTAAGGCAATATCATTCAAAAGCTACTCTGGTTGAAGTGGACGGGGGACACTGATAACTAGGTTTTTTTTGTTGTTTTTTTGAGTTGGAGTCTCACCCTGTCGCCCAGACTGGAGGGCAGTGGTTGCTCCCGGCCCCCGCAGCCTCGACCTGCTGGGCTCCAGCGATCTTTCCGCCTCAGCCTTCCAAGTAGCTGGAACTACAGGCACGTGCTACCACACCCGGCTAATTTTTTTTTATTTATTGTGGAGATGAGGTCTCGCCAAGTTGCCCAGGCGGGTCTCGAATCCGTGGGCTCAAGCAATCCCTCAGCCTTCCAAAGGCGCGGGATTACAGGCTGAGCCGCTGAACCCCGTTGATAACTAGTTTTTTAAAGGAACTCATATACTTATTTATTTCCAGTAGTAAGGGTCATATAATGGAATACATGTCCCTTGTTTTCTTGGCCAGGAAGTTCACCTCCCAGTTTAAATTTCAGTCATAGCTTCTGTGGTAATGTTTACCATTAGCACATATATGTTGTATTTTTCCCCCGTCCTGATTTTCTATCCTGATTTTCCTAACATACTTTTCATGTCCTAAATGCCTGTCTCCAGTCCTGATCAGAGATTCAGAACCACTTACCAAGTGCCTTTTATTTTCTTTTCTTTTTGAGTTGGAGTCACTCTGTCGCCCAGACTGGAGGGCAGTGGCATGCTCCCAGCCACTGCAGCCTCTACCTGCTGGGCTCTGGCGATCCTTCCACCTCAGCCTTCCGAGTAGCCGGAATTACAGGTGTGCACTACCACTCCCAGCTAATTTTTTGATTTATTGTAGAGAAGAGGTCTCTCCAAGTTGCCCAGGCTCTTCTTGAACCCGTGGGCTCAGGTAATCCCCTCACCTCGGCCTCCCAAAGTGCTGGGATTACAGGCTTGAGCCACCACGCCCAGCCCCAACTGCCTTTTTGACATCTCAGTTTGGATGTCCACAAGAATCTCAAACTCAAAATGTCTAAAACTGCACTTAATCCCCCACCTAAAAACAAACAAACAAAATCCAGTTCTCTTATTCCTCTGCTTTTCCCAGGCTCAGAGAATGTTAATACCATCCATCCAATAGCCCAAGTTGGAATTTTTTTTTTTAGTTGGAATCTCACTCTGTCACCCAGCCTGGAGTGCACTGGCACGCTCCTGGCCATCGCAGCCTCGACCTGCTGGGCTCAGGCGATCCTCCCACCTCAGCCTTCCAAGTAGCTGGAACTACTGGCACACACTACCACGCCCGGGTAATTTTTGATTTATTGTAGAGACAAGGTCTCACCAAGTTGCCCAGGCTGGTCTCGAACCTCCAGGCTCAGGCAATCCTCTCGCCTTGGCCTTTTAAAGTCCTGGGATTACAGGGTGAGCCACCGCACCTGACTGCAAATTGTAATTTTTAGTGGTCCTTGATTATTCCCTTTTTCTCACCCTCTATATCTGTCCAGATATGCTAGGGCAGGGTCTCCAACCCCCAGGCTGCAGACTGGTATCAGTCTTCGGTCTGTTGGGAACCAGGCTGCACCGCAGGAGGTGAACAGCGGGCAGGTCGGGCTCCGAGTGCTGTCAGATCACTGACGGCATGAGATTCTCACAGCCATGAGAACTCCATTGCGAACTTCCCACGCGAGGGATCTCTCTCGCTGGTGCACTCCTATGGCCACCTAATGCCCGGTGATCTCCCCACTCTCCGCCGCCCCCACCCTCTCCTCCCCCACCTCTCCTCATCGTCCACCCCGTCTCACGCCACCCATGGAAAACTTGCCTTCTGTGAAACTGGTCCCTGGTGCCAAAAACGTTGGGCACCACTGTGCTAGGTTATGCCACAGGAACAAAACAACCCCGACGTTCAGTGGCTTAACACGACGGAAGTGTACTGCTTCCTGTAACTACTGAGTTAGAGCTAGGGGCTCTGCTCCACGTCATCAAGCGACTCTAGGAAACAGGATGATGGGACAGCCACAATCCTGATGAGCCACAACCGCCTCCTTTTTGGTTGCCACAAGAGAGGGAAGCCTAAAGGCTGTCATCTCAGAAGCAACAGACATCAGAAGCTAGAGCTGTTAATTGGCCCCATCATCCAAACACAGAAGGCCAGGAAGTACAATCCTACCATGTGCCCAGAACAATCAATATGCATCATGAATGACAAGTATGTTGTCTTAGGGTGGACTCCCTAGAAGCAGACTCTGGAATGAGTGAAAGTGATTCTTTGGGAAGTGTTGTCAGGAAAAAGTAATCCAGGAGTAGAGAAGAGAGATAGGGAGGGGAGGAAGCCAAGCAAGTGTTTGATATCAGGCAAAGTCCTATAGAGGGTAATTGAGACTCAATTCCACAGAGGAATTCTAGAGACAGTCACACTTTACACTGGCACAGTCTTGATACTTCTGAACCAGGAGTCATTTGTGGAACTCTCACCAGGGAGATATAAATCTCAGGTATTTCTGGCTCTCCTCATAGGTGTTGACTGTTGGAATGAAAGCACAGCATGAAAATGGTACAGGGACCCCAAAACATGCAAGTGGAGTATTGATGTTGTAGGCTACACAACGCTTCATCTCAATAAACCGCATCAGCCTATGAGTTCTATTGCCTAAGTAAGCATTTCCTAAATTGTTCCGTTTTTCTCTAGTCGCCTGTTGCCTCTCCCTCGAGTGCCCCTTGAGTCCATCATCCTTGGTCTACTGCCCTATTGCAACCAGCATACTGATTTGTACTCTTGATATCACTAATCTAGTCTTCACACTATTGTTCTTTGTGATTCAAGTGGACTTTCCCCAGTGATACCTCAGACTTGTCATGCCTGCTTTCTCTTCAAGATACAAACCCCATTACACTGCTGAGAAAACCCAGGCACGGAGAAGTTAAGTAATTGCCAATAGCCATTCAGTTACTAACTGACAAAACCAGAATATGAATCTACTACGTATTAATTCCAAAGCCTTCCCCATTATATTTCACTGTTTCTGGAGCATGAATAATCTGCCCACTTTGCCCTGATCACTACCCAATTTTATAAGCTTCAGCTCAACCCATTTAAAGCCAAGTTTATCATCTTTTGACTCTTCCTCATCAAATGTCCCTGCTCCCGAGATTCCAATGTCAGCAATGGCCCTGCCATTCTTTGGTGTCACTCTGGACTCTTCCTTCTCCTTTTTCGCTTGTTTCGATCCATTTCCACAACTGTCGTGCTTCTGACTCCTAAATGCACGGCAGGGAGGGCTGGCTTTATATGCCCCAAGCTGTGGTCTACAGAGTACCCGACAAGTACCCATGTGTGGGAGGTCCTGGAGCTTTGCCCAAAGCAGGCTCATTAGTAGTGGATAGCATTCCAACAATACTCAGCGCCAAGAAATGAGATCAGAATCCAGGGAATGAAGCCAATGTTGGCCAGTCGGGTTGCCAAGTTGGAAGTTCTTGGACACGGTTATAAGCAAAGGGAAAGAAGCCAGTAGAGAGGGAGACATTGACTGACAATGAAGCCGAAGGGAGCGGTAATGGACGGAGCAGGGTCTGCGGGAGGTGACAAAAGGGACTACCATATGCCTGCTTGGGAGAGGGCTGGTTCTGATGACTGTGGTCTTGGGGGGAGAGGGGTATGTTCCTGGAATTATAGTAAGTGCTCAAAATAGTATTGAAAGTTCTTAATGAAAATATCTGTCCCCTATTTTCTGGAGACAACTATGTTGAACTAATTTAGTTGTTAAAAAACAAAACAAAACACAAACCTAGCATTTGCTGCCATGTTTCTTTTCTTATCTTTTTGTTTGTTTGTTTGTTTGTTTGTTTTGAGTCAGAGTCTCACTCTGTCACCCAGGCTGGAGTGCAGTGGCATGCTCACGGCCACTGCAGCCTCCACCTGATGGGCTCAGGCGATTCTTTTGTCTCAGCCTTCCAAGTAGCTGGGACCACAGGCATGTGCCACCATGCC